CATGCGATATATTTATTATTATTTTTTGATATTATTGAAATATAGTATCCCCTCTACTATACCCCTAACTTCGTATCGTTTTAATATTAGTAATCTTTGCGCTGACTATGGGTCCAGCAAATCAACCAATATAACAGAATATTCTTGATATCATACAGAATATTCTTGTTTTTTCATGGCTACCTCATAATGAACTTCAAGTGTGCCAGAGTATATAATTTTGCTATAACTAATAAGCGAGGTATTAAACAAAGTTTCATATTTATTATTTGTTAAACTTTTTTTTAAAACATTAATTTCTAATAAAATTAAAAGATATTTAAATTAATTTGACGCGTGTTTTAAAATCCAATTATAGTATTTAGCGACCTTTGTATACACACCAGGGTAGTTTACTTGAGCGCAGGGCAGTCCAAATGACACCAGACCTACCAGGTATATCCGTCCATCAATGACTGTCATTAGGGGTCCACCGGAATCGCCCTGTTAATTATTTTAAGTTATTAATATTTGTAATAATTTTGTGAAAATAATTTAAAGGTAATTTTTGAATAAAAAAAATAAATTATTATTTAAGTTTGATTAGTATAATATTATTATTATATTTAGATCATTATGGTAACTAATGCTAATATAATATTTTTAAAATGAATAATGTTTTGTGGCTCCCCCTATAAAATAGCAGTACTTATATGTAGAATTACATTTTAAATTGAACTACATTTTAAAAATAATATAGAAATACAATTTAAATAGTCATAATAATACTTACCATGCACGTATCATGATCACCTTGGCCACCGGCGCAAAAATTGGTATCGCTCAATTTCACGTACTTTTTATAGTTTTCGGTGCATTTCTTGTGGTCATACAGCGGGACCACCAGTTTCTGTAGGTTCTCCGCCTTGGACTCGTGCTCACCCAACTGGCCAAACCCGGCCACCGTGAAATACCCGGTAGGCTCGTGACCCTTTTCGGCCAGGCACACCGTGTTAATCATATACTGGTTCGCGTCAGTTTTGAATATTATCTGTTGCTTGAGCATGGCCAGGGCGATGTCGTTGGACTGGGTGGACACGTTCCACTTATCGTGTATAACCACCTTGCTGATGGTGTGGTTAAAGGCGCGGGTGTCGTTGATCTGGTTTGTGCCCATTTTTACCACCATTTTCTTCCAGTCCTCTGGTTTTCGGAATCTGTAAAAATGTAGTTTCAAAATATTATTAACTTTGAAATAAATGTCTGAGTTTTCAGATATTTTAAGAAATTAATTATATTTAAAATTTGTTGTTTCAATAAATTATTTTAATAATCAGTGGAAAGGTAGCAAACAATGATAAGCCGAGTGTTTTCGATCTACACTAAGATCTTTATCAGGGCTTAAGAGTTGGTACAGTAATCGATATTGAGTTTGTGTTAAATAATGACTAAATTTACTTATATTGTTAAATAGATTATAATTTAAACTTACAATACTTAAACTTTGTTTCCTTACACAACTTATAATTTATATTATTATGTGTATTATAATTAATTATTATTATTATTATACAAATACAAAATAATATTGTAAGACTTTATAAATTAATTTCCAAACATACTTATCGAAGCAATGCGCGGCCGTTATAATCCACCTATCACTAATAATTGACCCACCACAAAAGTGCTCGATGCGATCCCTTTTGGGCAGGTAGATCTGAAAGCTGACTAACCAGGGAAACTCGTGAGGCTTGGCATCCTCGCCGCCCACTATCCTACCGAACCCCTTGGCCCCGATGATCTTGGACTTTTTCTTAACCACGTCGTTTTTATTTCTCATTCCGCACGTGTCACTCTCGGCCGATTTAAAGCTATAGCTCTCTGTGATAACAATAAATTGAGCCTGGTGTCATTATATAGCATTGTGTTCAATTTCTTAAATTTTTAGGGTGTTTAATAAATTACGCAATAAATGTAATTATTATATTCATACATTATATACAATTTATTATTATTATGAATTATAGTTAATATATTTTTACAATTAATGCATTATTAATGCATTTTACTTGACCGCCCTATTTAAAAATTACATTTACTGTATATTATAGAGTAAATAATTACTGTTTGTAATCTATAAACTAATTATAGAGTAATTAAATTGAAATGAAACAGAATTGTTAAATATATTGCTAGATTAATTTGTTTAAGACTTACCTTTATAACATATTATAGTTACTAATAATAAAAATAAAAGTTTCATTTTTAACAGACTTTTTGTTGTGGTTTTCTAGTTAATAGTGTTTGTTATGATAATCGGCCATAACTTATGGGAACGTTACTTCGTTTAATGACTTCACACTTGTATTAAATTGCAATAATTATCCACAACTATAAACCCAATATACTATGCCTACAAGTTCTACTGATTTAACCTAGATCAAAATTAACTATTATTGTAAATTCAATAAATGTTTTTAAAATATCATAAATAATAAATTTATATTAAAATTGTTTAAAAGTGTATTAATATGATTAATTTTTAATTTTATATAAGCGCTGCATAGCGCAATATTTTGAAATTTAATTTACATACTAATGTACTTATACTGTAGTTAGAAATTATATTATTATTTATATTTTAATAAATCGTCTCATATAAAGATATTTAATAGATAACTCATTAACTTCTTATACTGTATAAACACGTGAATACATTTAAGCTAATTAATATTTACAGTATGTTAAATTATTTATTTTAAACACTTTTTAAATAAACATTTAATTATACTTATAGCACATTTAACATGGTCATTGTCAATGTTAAGGTAACGACATTCATTACCAGTAATTGAAAATATGAATTTAAAATCACATTAATAATTAATATTTTACAAAAATAAACTTAAAATTTAAAACTACCAGTTTATTATGATATCTACTACAATACAATACCTATTACAAATATAAAGTACTTTGTAACAATAATATAAAACAATTATTTCATTTTATATGAGCAACTAATATATTTAACATTATTATTATTAATATCTTTATAATTATAGCACTTTTGATAAAAATCCCAAAACAAGTAGAAAAACACAGGACTCTGGCATTGCGCAAAATATTTGAGACCCGGTGGGAACGGCACCCCCTGTAGCTCCACCATTACACCATACGCAATAAACACCACAAACTGTACCAGTTGCAACTGGGTAATATAGCGTTTCCACCACAAATACTTTTGCACGCCCTTACCCATAGCTGACAGTGCATAATAGCCATACATAACCGTATGTACAAACGAATTGAGCATGATAAAAAGTCTAAGTGGTTGCATGTTGAACCTGTACCAAATGGCCAACCATGCTAACACGGCCACCACACTGTGATGATACAGGTGCAAAAAGGTGATCTGCCGGTGCCGTTTGCGTAGCGCGAAAAATACGGTATCCATAAAGTCCATGATCTTGGTCATGTAGTAGGCGTACACCAGTTTGAGCTCCCAGTGCACACCGGGCGACCATTCCGTGTCGGGCGGTATCTTGAAGTCGGCGATGAGTTTGCGGCCAAAGTCCAGGGCTAGGAGTTCGTGAAAAAAGTAGAAGCCATTGATGAGCACCAGTAGTATATTGTAGCACATGATTGGGTATCGGAGCTCCAGGGGCTCGCGGTGTCGCATGCGGTCGGGTATCACTTTGAGCACTAGTACGAGGTATATGAGCACAGCTAGTATAGGGGTTTGTAGGCCCGACCCGAACCCCGGTAGCCGTTGGACCACCCGTTGGTCACCCGACTCGAGCCACACGTCCCGCCAATAGTATTGAAATGAATTCGCGATAAGAGTTGTCATTATTTTTTTGGGAAAAGGTTTTTAGTTTTGATTTTTTAGAGTAATATTAAAAAAGTTTTTATTTTTTAAAACTACTTGTTTTGGTACTAAGCTAACTGTCCGACAGGTTTAGTATGTTTGACTTACTTTCACACCGCACTCGTAGTAAGACTAGTAGTCATCATTCATATTAATGTTATACTGGAAGGACAGGTATTTTTAGTGAGAAATGTGTTAATATTAAATTAGTTGAGCGTTTAATTAAATTAATAATTAATTAGTAATTTTATATTTATTTATTAAAAGGTATAAAATAATGTGAGTTCCCGTTATAGCACCGGTAGTTTAGTATTGAATTATGCATAATTATGCAAATAAATTATACGTTTAGTTAAGGTTATTGATCGTTGATTTTTTTTTAAAAAGTTTCAATGTCAAATGATTTTTGCTATTAAATAATATAGTATGTTGTTAATTATAATATTTACAGGGCTTAATAGCGTCATTATAAATTGATTTATTTTATAAGTGTTTATAATCCTGGTTATTTATTTTCTTGAAATATCTACTAACCAAAAATCTAATAAATACTCTTTTAAATTAAAAATATATAATATAATACAATACTTGAGATGCTATTTTTGTAATATTTTAAATATTTCATCTAAATAAAAATTTTAAAAAATTATTATAAATGATAAAAATATAGAATTATAAATATTAAATATTTAAATAGGAATTAAGGTCTTAATTATTTATACTCTGTTTTTAAATTATGAATTTTTAATATTAAAAATATTTAATATTAATAGCACTTATTTGTCAATGAAAATAAGTTAATAGAAGTTTGTGTGTGTGTTTGTATTATTTTTAAAATTACTACTAACTATAAAACATATACATTATTTTAATATATATATGTATTATATATTAAATATATATAAATATGTAATAATAAACCCGGGTATAATTAGTTTAGTGCATTTCAATTAAATATTTTTGTTGTTTATATCAAATGAATAACAAGTTAAACATTAATATCTACGTGAAATTCATTAACTATAATAAAATGCACACATTATTTACAGGTATATGATAAATGTAGGTTATTGAGTCTAAAATAATTATTCTGCTAGGACAATTAAATTGTTCTTTAATAATAAATAATAACAAATACGCTTTCATTAAAGACATTATTGTATTGATTAATAATTAATACTAAATTATATTGTTTAGATAATAATAATAATAATAATTTTTTGTGTTATACCCGTGCGCTATAACTATTAATTATATAAATAATTATTGTGTTTTTATATATTATTTGTTTGAAATCAATAAATAAGTTTATATAAACTGTATCTTATGTTATTAATAATTTTACATTCAAATTAATTATTAATTTTGAGTTATACGGCTATTATCAAAAATATGCCTGGTATCCGTGAACTTTTATTAAGATGCCATGTATTTTGGGGCAATTCACCCCAATTCACTCACAGGATTGGTAATTTTAAAGCAAATTATACACTGGTAGTTTTTCGCTTATGGAAAGTATGTATTTTATTTATATTACAGATATATTTTAATTAACTGTATTTTTTATTTCAAGGACGTATGTGAATATAACCGAGCTGTTCTAGATGCAATTGTGGACAAATTTAACATAACCCTAATTGTGTATGATCAGTGGACTAATATTGATGACCATATGAAGGCTAATCCAGTATTATAAATTTTATTATTATTATCTATTGAAAATATGATTATTAATTCTAGTATTTTAGTTAATACTTGAAGATAATTTAAATGAAAACTCAAGCATTATACAGAGTATAATTGAAAATTTTATTGCAAACTTTTATTTTCAATAATTAATGTATTCATTAATTTTTTTATTAGTTAGAAGAATATCATATTTTTGCAATAGATAATCCTGGACAATATATAAGTTATACTAAAATAAAATTACAATTAAATAGCATATTGATATGGCGCTAAACCCCTGGGTCTTAGGTGAGGGTCTATACAAATTTGGTCAGGGTCAGTGGTATAATGAAGACAATACCATGGTAATTCTTGCATCTGGCTACTATGAGAAGACTGACTTGTTATCTATGATGCAAGGATTTAATTTAACTATCTGGCTAATTATATTATCATCAATAATTGTGCTAACCATGTTCTATAGTGCTCAAGAATATATAGTCCCGAGGTACCCCGGTAATAAATCCGTATCTCGTATAATACTTAAAGTTATATCACCCTTGGTTAACCAAAACATTAATAACAAGTTTGATTTATTATTCACAATTTGGGCGTTAATGGGCATGATACTATCAAGCTGTTTTAGCAATAAAATACTATATTCAATATTTCACCATGAATTTTTACAAATTAATTCGATGCAAGATATTATTAATTCAAAAATGAAAGTGCTCATACCACCTGATTCTACAATATATCATGAATTCATCAAGAATAATGAAATTAAAAATCCATATATTAAGCAATTGATGGAAACTAAACGTATAGTTTTTGGCGATGCCCGTGGCAATGAAGTATGTATCAATATAAAATATCATTTAATTTATATAGAATAAAATATTAGCATTTTTCATATTGTAAATAATTTTTTAAAAATTATTAAATATTTTATTTACCTTGTTTGTTTTTAAAGACACTTAGACTTTACATGTCGGAGCGTAAATTGGCATTTATTAGGGATGGCTATAATATACGCAGGATACACTCGGAAAATCTTATATATAATTTTCAGATTGCCAACGAGAAATATTATCCATTTTATTTGACGCTATTAATAACAAAATCAAATAATAGGCCAAACATAATTTATTTAATGAAAATGTATGTAGATGAGTTTATTAAATAAAATAAAATATTTAATAATAATTTATTTATTTATCAGGTTAGCTAAACTCGCGGAATCGGGAATTAATTATCATGTAGAAAATACTTACCAAGAATACGTTAATTTGGTTGGATATAATAAACTGAGCGTGCACATGAATATCGGCGATAAATTAGCTAAGAAATATTCATCATTACATAGCCATGAAAATTATATTGAATTACATTTTATCAAGGACTTATTTATAGCACTCGGAATGTGTATTAGTGTTTCAATATTTGCATTCCTATTAGAAATAATTAACGATATGAGTCAACCACGCAAACGTATCATGAAAACAAAAGTGACCAGGGATATCGTACAGAATCCGGTTAAAACACAAACTGTTCAGGAATATTTAAATAACGATTCACCTTTTTGGTATGCTAGATAATTATTTACAACAAGTTCTTATAATTCTTATAATTTATAACAAATTAAACTGTTTGTCGTTATGAGATATTGATACTAAATATTTAGCACTAGTGGGTAATTATAAGTTCTATTAGACAATAAATTAACAAAAAAAATATATGAATTCAAAAAAATAGTTTTATTTAATTATATTTTATTTTATCAAGGACTTTAATAGCATTAGAAATTTTTTACTGTGTTTCATTTGTTTTATTTTTATTGGAAATAGTTAGTCAGCTATGTTATAATGAAAATGAAAATGACACTCGTTTTTTAAAGTCCCCGTCCACTCAACTACTGTAAATAATAAATCCAAAGTAAACAAGCACGTTGTACTGAGTCAATAAATTTTTAAGATTTTAAAATATCTTAAGGGGCCATTCAATAAGTACATACGCACGAGGCGGGGGAGGAGGGGTCAAATCAAAAGCGTATGAAAGCGTATGTTATTTGGGGGAGGGGTCCAGTGAGAGTCGACGTACATTATGAAGGGGGTCATAGAGAGATTTTATGATTTTTTATAAGGATTTAATTCATATCAATGGTTTAAATCTTAATCTGTGATAAGGCTAGATAAAGACTTTTGACAAATATTTCA